CGGGGAAGCGCTGCTGCCCTGGCTGCCCGACTGCAGCCCCGGCGGCCGCTGCTGAGCGGCCGGGCGCTGGGGAGAGAGGACTTTGCTGTGTCGGTAAAGAAGATTTAAAAAGTGTACTGTCTGAGCCGACCTTCCCAGGCAGGGCAGAGCAGGGCAGAGCCGGCAGAAGGGGACTGTCTGCCGTCGCTCGGCGATCCCCGGTTTGTTTTCTTTGTGCCTCTTTGATGTCTTTTTCAGCGTGTCTGCTGCCGGGTGAACTCGGCTTTCCCACACACAAAAAAACCCGCACACAAACGCCCCCCCCTCACCCGCCTCCCAACCAGATTTGGTGTCATCATGAGTGCTGGAATACATTTCTCGACTGTTTGATGGGGTGCTGGCGTGCTCACAGACAAGCTCAGCAAAACAAGACTCCGGGGGCATCCATGAGTTCTCATAAAACACTGTGTCTGTACAGCAAAATGTTGCTTTACTGGACACAAAGAATCGTAATCAAAGTGAGATTAATTCAGCTGATCATAATGTAGCTCTAAACGCCAAATAGCACAGGTAGATTGCTGTGGAAGTTTGTGACTAATATGAGCATGTCTCGGTTGGATGGGCCACCAGATATCCAAGGCAACTAATCAGCAGCCTGACCATGCCTCTAGGCCAGCTTTTAGCAGTTTTATCTAAGGTCCAGCAATTTTGCTTTTTTTTAGACGTGTAGTGAGAACGTTTATTTAGAGGCCTCTTTTGAATGCTTTTCAGCCATGCTTTATAAACTTTTCAGCTCTTAGATACCTTACCTTGTCTCCACAACCGTCTCTTAAATTTTTTGCCTCAGTTTGTAATTCATCTCCTTTGTCTTGTTTTTCTCTGAATTTTAGTGCTGCTTCCCCTTCCTGTCTGCCAGATAAGTAACAGCACCCCCGTGTACTGAAGTACACGAGTCATGTATTTTTGCATAACACTGACTGCAGTGAAAGTTTCTATAATGATTTGGTTAATCAACAGTGTATGTTTAACTACATTATTTTTCATTCCTTGCAGCATTTTCTAACAACATATGCAAAAATTCAAGTACTTTTGTCCTTTTTACAAGTCTTCCCTGTTCTTAGAATGAGTAGGGCAATTCTCCTACTGTTTGTTATAGCAGTTGCCCCAACAGGAGACCCAAGCAGGTTTTGCTTGGTTATTCCTGTAGCAGAACTGTGTATCACACCCGGGGCTGATAGATGAGGATTTATTTTCTTCATAGTGTACACCATTTCTTCAGTGTCACTGGAGACTAAAAGACTTTTTAAAATTACCTATGCTTCTCAAAACTTTCTAAGTGGCAGTGATTCTAGAGCCTGTGCTAAACCACATTTACCATCTTACTCTTGCTTCTTCCATCATACTGTGTGCATCGTGTTCTTTTGCAAATATGTCGTTCTCATTCTCACAGTTACCTAGTTTGGCAAACTCAAAAAGAGAGAAATTCCAGTCTGTAATCAAGAGCCAGGAAATTGTTTGGGTTTTTTTACAATAGTGAAGTGTTACCTGTGCTGCTGCTTTGGGGTTTCCTGGAGAGATCACGTGAATGGGAGGTAGGAGGGAAGTTCTGCAGCCTTTCAGTTCATGATCATAGGAAAAAAGAGCTTCACTCTTGGAACAGTCCCTTTGGTTTTCTTCATTGTCAGGAAGCTCAAGCAGTTCACAGTATTCCTTAGCTGTTTGGAATAAATGAAAGGGAGAGATTTATAAATAAGCAGTAGCAATTTGTGTAAACAGTAGGAATATAGCTGTCACTTTTGGCTCCCTTAAGACAGGCACCCCTTGTTAACCTTCATTTGGAAATTTTTAAGTAGAAATGACAGAATATCCAGCCTCACATCCAAGCAACCTTGAACTTCAAGGAGTTAAATTCTGCAAATAGCCTCTGGCCCTGTAATAGACAAAGCCCAAATGCTATATTTACCACTCTCTGGACTGGGAAATTGATAACCATACCATTTGTATCTACTCATGTTGCAGTTTATAACTTGAGCGTAATTTTATCTGCCTGCTTTGTCACACGAAACTTGAAGATACTAAGGTTTATATTATTATGATGATCATCTATTACACAGTAATTTAGCTGAGACTCAAAGGCTGATGTTGACCCTCAGGGCACCTCCATTTAGTCCTCTACCTGGAGGCAAAAATAGCAGCTCAAACAATATTGTACCAACTGCTGAAAGCATCTTTGTGCATTTGTCAGAGATTGGTACAAAGCTGGCAATTGCTGCTGCCAGTGGAAATGGGAGGAGGACTGTTTGTAGTAACTGTTCTTTCTGGGGGACAGCAATGCATCATATAGGAGTGGTGTCTAAGGCATGTGTCTGGCACCCAGTTACCACCGAGCCTGGAGTATTATCAATCCGCATTAAACTAGTCTTTCAAAGGCTGGTCATGCTTAAGTTATGTATACTTCAAAATGTTGCATAGCAATGCTGAACAGCTACGGTTATTATAACACCAATTTAGATTTATTTTTTTTTAAGGTGCAAAGTTTGACTAGTAATAAAAGTTTGGAATTAAAGAACATTCAAGATCTGGAAAGCATTGAAGAAAGAGGATAATGGGTACTCTTGTCATGCAGTACATTCACTAATTCTTAGTGATTCACTAATATTTTGCACTTACTTTGCGAAAGATCACAGAGGTGCTAAACTGTAGGAACTGAGTTAAGTAAAAATCTTTTTTCATTAAGTGGTTTGATTTCTCCATCATCAGTAGTGTCTGTATCTTAACCAGAGCAGATCTGTGTGGTCTCTGACCTTGACTGGTTCTGGCAGGTGCTTCTTTCTGAACTAGGTGGCTCAGATCAAACGTGATCGCTAGTCCTGACCTGGCTTTGTAAGGCACTTCCAGACCTGTCAGAGTCATCTTTGGGCTGCAGGATTCTGCGCTATAGCTGTCATGCACTACTTCTAATTTCTAGACTGCCCAATCCTGTAGGTTTGAGATAGGTAGGTAGGAAACTCATACATGAGTTGCAGTGCGGTTCCTGCCGTGTTGATTCTCAGATTGCCAGAGCAGGAATATATTAAAGGTTTCCTGGCTTTACCTTCTAGCCTGTAGGGAGAGAAAGAGGGCAATAGCCAAGGATTATGTGTGCCCAGTTGTTTTTTTTTCCAATATAAACATAAATGAAACATTGCAGATAACCATATGAGGATGATACAGTGTGGTCCCAAATACTACAAAGTATTCATTGGCCTGTTAGGTCAGCTGTGCTCCATTTTAGCTGTCGGCAGTTTGTAGACTCATAGTTCAATGTGCCTGAGAAAAGATGGTAGGTTCCAAAGACAGCAAGATATTGTTTAACTCTGCTGTTGAGAAAATTTAAGAATCACTGATGTCTTCAACACTTAAAGGCTATATCCCATTTTTTTTCATCATTTCAGTCTGGGCAGAACTCTTAATTCCTTTTCCTGATAGCCTTTTTACATCTAGGCATGGTTGGCCCAGTTTGCATGCTTGCATTTGAGGAGATGTGTGTTTTTATTGCTATTGTACTTTTTGATGTCTCAAATATAAGTAGTCCATGGCCAAAGACTGAGAAGCACAGGAATACACCAGCTCTCCCTCCCCTGGATCCCACAATGGGGGCTATCAAGAAGAGGTGTTTCTGTGGGCAGAGGCAGCCATTCAAAAAGATTAACATTTCATTATTGCAGAAGAACAGATTCTTGAAGTATTCCTTGTGTCTGCTCTAGAGATGTCAGACATCTGAGCACATTAGAGCTTCACCCATTAGAACGGGTTGCTGCACATCCAGTACATAACACAAAATAGAATTCAAAATTTGAAAGCAAGCCAGCTTATTTTGCCACATTAGCCAGCCATACTTGCCCCTATTATTTTTTCAAGAATCCATAATAAATTAATGCACAATTGTCATAAAAATCCAATACAAATTACCCCCTTAAAAATAATTTGTCTTGGTAGTCTTCTCAGACAGGTTAGATGTGGAAAATGGTGATTAAACTAGCTACTTATCACTATCTTTAGATTCTCCCAAGATGAGGGTCATAGGAGAAAAATGGTCACTGTTGCACAGCTGCTGTCAAAGCAATACTTTATCAGCATGTCACAGATCCATAATTAAAAGTACATTTCTAGAAAGGATTCGACAATTTGATCATACATGAAGAGCGAAGCACGTTATCCATGAAAATTGCAACAAACATTCCAAGAATCTGTCTATCTGTTAATTGGTTTATAGTCTTGGGTGTTTCATTTTGTGTTTGAATTTTTTAAGAAATGTAGGGCTTTCGTTTAGACAATATTTTAAGGTGTTACCTCTGCCATCAAAACCAATGTACAACCTGAAATACTAAAAAGCCAGTTTCAAAATTGTCTAATTCCAGTCAGCGTGGGTGAAGGGAATGCCATTTGCACTTACCATGCAGAGCAAAATGAAAGCACATTCCAACAAGCTGACAGTCCTAGATAATGTCTGCTTCTTGCTTTCACAATATTGCAGTATTATTATGATTTGGTGTTCTTATTTTGTATAACAGAGTATTAGGAAATGTAAATATCTTTCATAGGTGTTTACACAGTAATCAAGACACTTCAAAGTATTATTCCAATTTTAAAATACCAGCAGATGTAGAACAGTATTTGTTGTGAAAATGCCTATGAGTCTCACTAAAAATAGAACTTAATTTAGCAGAAACTCTTTAGGTTCAAGTAAGAATTTCTTAGAACTTCACAGGTACAAAATGCAGGAAAACTTCAGTAATATTTTTGGACGTTGTATATATTTTGTTGTCTTTATGCCTTCTGTAAGGCATATTTCTAAAAAGGAATTACTGTCAATATTAACAACCTTCTACAACTGCTAAAACTGCTATTTCCTAGTATTTGCATATGTATTTATGTGTTGGGGGAAGAACATTTGGGACTGTCTCCTCAATGTGATATCCACAATACTTGGTAACTGTCACCTCTGTATTACCAACGTGGGTTTATCTCTAACACTTAGGAAATAAGTGGCTTG